CCAAGTCATTTATCTTGGCATCAAAACTCCTGACTTCTTACTGGACTGCTGCATCTGATTGTGACTGCTGCATCTGATTGTGACTGCTGCCCAGAGAGGCTGTGGATGCCCCATCCTTGGAGGCATTCAAAACCAGCTTGGATGGAGCCCTGGGCAACCTGGACTGGACCGGACCTGGAGGATGGTGGCCTTGCCTGAGACAGGAGGGTTGGAACTTGATGATCCTTGGTGTCCCTGCTAACACAAGCCATCCTATGATTCTACCATTCTGTGTGTCAAACTATTCTTCCTTTAAATTATTTTCCTTTTCATTTCAAAATAAATATTTAATTTAACTTAAATAAGTTAAGTACAGTAAGTTTCCTGTTGAAGAAGGCAATCCAGTTCAAGTGCTCTGATGCGTCAGTGTTCCTGTGGGCCAAGCCCAGGGACACAGCACGGAAGGTCAGTTTCCTTGGCTCTGGAAGAGTTGCAGGTATTTCTGCACCCAGGACTCCCTCGGGTTTGCACATACTTAGGCGGCCTTCCTGTTTGCACTTTGTTGTTGCTGAACTATTTCTCGTCGAAATACCCCTGCCAGGATGCCATCACCACCCCATGGCGATGTGCTGAGGTCAGGGCTGGCCCCGGGGAGCTGATCCCACCCTTGGAAGGGGAAGCACCGTGTGATCCCAATGGGAACTGAGACGAACAGTGGGGTTTGAAAGTCCATATGGGAGACAAACAAAAGTGTTTGATAGTCCAAAAAATTTATTTAGGCAACAGAACAGCTAAGACCAAAATGGATTCTTATGTAGTGATATGTTTCAAATTATTTTTGTATTTTTTATTTTCTTAGAAAAAAATATTTAATTTAACTTAAATAAGTTAAATAGAATAAATTCCGTACTGAAGACGATCCAGTTCAAGTACTCTGGTGCGTGAGTGTTCCTGTGGGCCAAGCCCAGGGGCACAGCACGGGAGGTCAGTTTCCTTGGTTCTGGAAGAGTTCCAGGCGTTTCTGCACCCAGGACTCCTCAGGGTTTGCACACACCTCCTTCCCCTTCTTGGTGACCAGGCTGCAGGGAGAAAACCAGCGTTAGGTTCATACAATGCTGGGTCCTGTGGTGGGCAGCACCCACATGTCCACAGCCACACTCTTGTCCCCTCCCAACCACACCCAGAGCTGTGGGATACTGTCCTGGTATCACACTGCAACCACCCCAGCTGTGGTTGGATACTCACACCACCCCTGGCAGGCGGCATTTGCTGCTGGTGATGTAAGCGGAGGCAATGGCGTTGCGTGGGATGGGACGTTGAATGTAGGAGATGCAGCAGGTTGTGGTCAGGCCATCTGTGAAGAAAGAGAGCCCTGGTGAGACCCCACAGTACAAGGATCTCCCATCACACAATCGCCCCCTTATGTCATATCCCCCAAGGACACCCCTAGACGCTCCGTCTCCAAGGCTGAGCCCCAGCACTGGTGGCAGTCCCCCACAGCCCACATTAAGGTCCCATCCAGGGGGATGGGGCTCCCAGGGAGGAACGGCCACCCAGACTGAGGGACACAGTGAGACCCGACTCACCTAGATGGGCCACAGCCGAGGAGCAGAGGGCCAGGAGGAGCAGAGCGGACAGGATGGCTGCGGGGCCCTTCATGGTGCTGCGGGACGTTGGCACGGTGAGCAGGGTTGGAGCTGGGTGGCTGCAGGGCTCTGCTCTGCACAGTGCTGAATCCCTGCTGCGTTGCAGCTTTTATCTCCCAAGCTGCTGGGCGGGCACAGGGCTTCAAGGAATAAGGATGAGTGCATCATACAAAGGAAATCATGTCAGGATCTCCAAATTTTGCTGAGTTGGGGTTGGAAAGGAAACAGTAAAAGAGGAAGCATTGGCCACAAGGCCATTTCTTTCAGATTCCATTCTGGTGGCCAGAGCCGGAAGCCCCATGCAGGGCTGCTCCGCTGCCATGGCATGGACACCACTGCTGGCAGGAAAGCACTGTCAGAAGGAACATCTGAACTGAGCTACAGTTCTACCAGTAATACCACTTTCAAATGTGCCCCATTGCAAAGTGTAGTAGGAATGCTAAGCCACGGCCTGAAACAGTGATTGAGCACCTGGTAGGAAGGCAGGGCCAACCTAGCAGAGCTCAGGTGCAAGCAACTCACCTGAGTGACTGGAAGGCATGAAGCCAGGATCCACCCCTTCCCAGATCTCATTTAAGGGTTGGCACTGCAGGTGAGGGTATCTGTTGCTGGAGTTCCCTGCATACTGGAGGTCCTCCAATGGTATGTTGCTCTTTTCCTTTGTTTCTATATTTGTGACTTGTTTTTGGGTTCATTCTCATTTGTTGTGGCAAAGGACTTTGCCTTTCTGCTGTTTCCATCCAACTATAACATTACACAAGGATACTGAGTTGACTACAGAATGGTGTGTTGTGCAGACTTTATCTCCAGTAGTAACACCAGCTTTTTCCTGAACTTGGAAAACAGGAAAGATGGTACAGGGATGAAGTTGAGTTGACCTGAAATTATTGAGGAAGTTGACTTTCATCCTTTTGATGTTACAAGCTGCAGACTTATGCTGCAAATCTTGCAGGTATGGAGATAAAGGCAGCCCATAGGAAATAAGTTTTGTTCACTGGTCACTACACCTGGGATGTAGTCTGCTGCAACCCCCCTGACTGTAGGGCAGACAGAGGACATACACCTCTCTGCCTATAGATGTTAATGTTGGTTCTTTTCAGTGAAATTGTTGCAGTTCCTGCTTGTTCACTTCTTCCCAGTATGGGCAACTTTATCCTATTCTAGTTATATATACTGGTTTGGCATCTGGTTTCAGGGAGGAGATGTGGTCCTGAGGTTAGGAGCTGAGAGAAGAGAGGGTTCTGCCAGAACTCTGGGATCAGCACATCACAGCTTTGTGGATGAAACACAGTGCCAAGCACAGCGTGACCGAAAAAAGGGGCAGCATTGGCAATTCCCAAAGATAACTCACAATGTCCCTGTGGACACGCATCCAGAAAGAGCTACAGAACTCAGTGCTTCCTCTTCTTTTTTCCCTTTTTCCATTCTTGCCCATGCTGCTCTGTGGGTTTGTTGCCACAACTAATCCTCCCAACTCTCACTGGGGGTGACTAAACCCTTGTGCTCTGAAGAGGTTGACTCATGCTGAGTGCTGGTTGTGTCCATCCTTCCACCCCACAGTAGAGCTGTGGTCCCCGTTCACATGTAGGCTCACAGCAGTTGCTATGGCCCTTTGCTTATTGTGCCTTTCCCTGCTGTCAGATCCCTGCCGTGAAGGGAGTACCCCTCAGAGCTGGTTCAGCAGGAGGTATAGGATGAGGAGAAGAAATTGTGATTGTTTCTTTTAGAAAGAATGGGCTGCTCAGGGAGGTGGTAGAGTCCCAATTCCTGAAATCTTTAAAGAACTGTAGAGATATGGCACTGAAGGATGTGGGCATGGTGGGGGACTTGAAAAAGACCTCTCAGATCCCCAACCTTAATGATTCAATAATTCTAACCCCCCCCTGGAACCATCCAGGAGGAGCCAGGCAGTGCTGACCCAGCCTCAGAGCTAAGGACAGGAACAATCTCTCCAGCTCTTCACAGTTGCCTACATCACAGTTGCTTCTAACCTGGTAGTGACAGTGGAGAAATTCAGAGCACCCTCTGTGTAAACATTTTTGAGGTTTAGAGTTTAGTCAACAGAAAACACATGTTTTTGTGAGCCTCTCTGCCTATAAACATTCACCTGCCCCTGATCACCAGCCACCCCCTTGGCATCTCCCCTGACCTCCCAGGAGCCACAAGAAGTGGGAGGAAAGACATCGGAATGCAACAAGCCATTACTATCAGGATGAGAAGCAATCGGTGCTTGGAATAGCTGTGAGAGTGGGATCTTAAACCAAGCAGGGCTTGGGATCCTCTGGGGAGTAGCCCCAAGCCAAGGTCCAACTCAAGTAGGACTGGGTCCCAAGACCACGTGTAGAAATGAGCAGTGACACTGGGTGATGCTGGCTCGGGAGGATGAGCTATGCCTTCCCAAGCAAAGAGAAAAGGTATTGAAGAGCTTCCCAGTGCAATCATCTCTTTTCTGGGATAACCATAGAAAACCTGCCATCCGTTATGAACCTTAGTCAATCTCAAAACTACAAACATTCATTTTGATGGAAATGGTTAAAAAAAAAAAAAATATTTCCTCTTCACTGCAGGAGTTGTTGCCCAAGCTTTCACTTCTTCATTTAGATGAGAATCGAATGGAACTTCTTACTGGATGCTGATGAAGAAGTTCCTATTCTAACTGGAATAGAGGATATTTCGATGAATTACACAGAATTGCAGCTCAGCAAAAAGTAGAAAGCTTTAGTGTTAGAGTGTATTTAAGGAATTTAATATAAGGAAGTGATCTAAAGGGAGAGTGAAGAAATGACTTATGGTTTTAATTCTCCTGTGGTAGAAGACATCTGTATTCATATGACTTTCTAATGTGGCAGAGAAATCAAAAGCCAGTGCGGGGAGAGAGAAAGCACAACTTGAATTCTTGCTGGGAGCACTTCCAAGTGAAGATTTCAGAATAGCTGCTGGGGGCACAGGAGGGCAGAAAACACAGCTTTACAAATAAAAATACAAAAAAAGGTAGTTGAAGATGAAGTGCTTTTTGTTAATGTGAAGGCAAGCCACAAAGAAGTTATGGTCAAACACTCAGCACAATTAAAAGTGTTGTAGCAGCAGATGGGCACATAGGTGCCCAGCCAGATCTATGGAAAGAGAAGATGACTGCCTTAGTGTGTGATTGGCTTTAGGAACCCTTCCCAGCCCTGCATTGTTTGCTCAGAGGAAAATGCCTACTAGTTGGTGAAAGTAGGATGTATTAATGGCCACAAGTCAAGGCAGAGGAATATCCCTGCACCTCTTCTGGGAGATGCTGCCAGCCTCATGGATCCCTGTGCACTGCAGCTCTCCTGCTTTCACTGTGCTCCAGTATGGGACAGAAGGAAACGCAGAGCAAGGAAACCGCAGGCAAGAAGAATTGAAAGAAACTGCCAACACCACAATCCCGTGCAAGTGCAGAGAAAGCCACGCATTATGCAACATCCGACTGGGAAGAAACACTTGTCATTGATAAAAATTATGCAAAGAGGTCCCGTGGCTGGAGGAAAAGGAAAATGCAGATCAGCCAAACAGCCTCACCCTGCTGTGAGACATTGCTGACCTTTTCATACGTTGTTATACAGAGAAATCCAGCAAAGTTAAATTCTTAAATTCCCACTGATATCTTTCTGATTTGAAGCCTTGGATGCTACATTCACATTCAGGATCTTGTGCCATGCCCTGCAGGGACCCACAACAGGTGTTTTTCCATAGTCCTAAATCCAACTCATGGCCATTCTCCCTCTTTGAGTCCACTCTGAGCTGAAAACCCTCAGTTCCACAGCCAGGAACCTGGGGACCCCAGACTCAAGTATCTCTTGTTCCTTAAACAAAGAAAATACATTTAATATAGAAGTACATATAAATATGGGAAATGAATGAAACACTTTGTGCAAGGAACAAGTCTTTATATAAGAAAGAAGGACCCTACTTCATATAAACATAATTACATCCCTCAACAAATAGCAGGATTCTGAGCACAAGGTACAGCAAAACACTCAAGTCAGAAGCTGACTCACCAGCCCACAGGCAGCTTCTTGCCACAGTGTCAAGCTTTGCTCTACCCCTCTACCACCAAGCAGCCCCCACAGTTTCCCCTATACTGCTCCACATCCGGCTCTTTGCTGCTTACAGCTTGCACCTGGGGTCCCATCTTCACCCCTGCAGTCAGGTGGAGCAAAGCCCTGGGGCTGCTTCTCAGCAGCTTTGGCTTTGCAAGGGCATATGGACTCTGGTCCCCCACAGGTACAGCTCTGTACCTCTTCTGTACGATTTGGCTGAGGCAGCAGCTCTCAAGCATTGCCCCTGCTGAGATCTGCCCGCGTGAACACTCCATCAGGGCACTAAGAGGGGAAAAAAAGTCTGTCTGCAAAAAGTGATTTCAATTATGAGTTTGCAGACACTGAGCATCCTCCTGCACCCAGACACAGATTGCATAAGCTCCAGTTACATTAAAATGGGCTAAAAATAAAGTACTATCTAAACTTGCATAGCTGAGGTTATCTCATAGCCAGGCACTTGCTTCAGTCTTTCTTTTCTGCTTTGCCCTTGATGAGACCTTCCACCGGTTTTGTGTTTATTGTGCCTTGTGTCAAAATATCTCTCTTTGATATACCATTTCTTTCTTTAAATTGTTTTAACCACATCCCTTTCTTCTCCTGCATGAAAGGGTAAATAATCAGTGTCGAATGCTTCTTTTTAAGCTCCCTTCATCTATTTGCCCCACTCTTTTCACTCTTTCATCTTCAAGTCTCTGAATGCTTTCATCACCTGCCTCAAAGCCTTCTGTGTCGGCTGTATCCTTCTCTGAGTCGCAATGAGCTGAACGTGGCATTCAGAGATCATCCCACTGGTTTCTACAGCAGTAACATTATGGGATTTGGAGAATTACTTTCTGTCCTATCCTTTATGCTTTCCTATATATGGATTAATCTTCAGACTTGGAGTGTTGAAGATCGTCTCTAGAAAATAAGAGATATTAAGTCCTTTATTATTGATCCTTGATTTTAACCCAGTAAAGAACTTTGCCCAGAGAGGTTGTGGATGCCCCATCTCTGGAGGTATTCAAGGTTGGATGGGGCTCTGGGCAGCCTGATCTAGTG